GTGCAGCAAGTGAGCGAGCGTGCACCGTCACTCCCTTCCCGTACTACGAGTGCTCCACGGATTCGAGCCACACCGCAGCAACGCCAAGGCCTTCAAGTCCCTGCAGCTGAGGAGGAAGGAAGGGGGAAGAGGAGAGTTCAACCCCCTAATAGGCTGACCTATGATGTGCCGGGAAAGCAGGGCAAGACAGCCCTGGCCGGAGCGGCAATGATGGTCGGAGACGACGAGGAGAGTGACTACGAGGAGTGTGCCTTCGCGTTCTTCTCTCCGGTGGAGATGCCGGGAGAACCAGCAACTCTCAAGGAGGCTTTGGAGAGTAGTGATGCTGAGGAGTGGAAGAAGGCCATGGAGAGTGAGCTGAAGAGCATCGAGGAGAATGACACGTTTGAATTGGTGGAGCTACCGGAGGGGCGTACGGGGATAACGTCCAAGTGGCTCTTCAAAACCAAGTCGGATGCCGACGGCAAGATCGAGCGCTACAAGTCTAGGCTTGTAGCCAAGGGGTACCAGCAAAAGGAGAAGGTGGACTTCAAGGAGGTGTTTGCCCCTGTGGTGAAGCCGACGACGCTGCGAACCCTATTCGCGGGAGCCGCCATCAAAGGATGGGTAGTAAAGCAAATGGACATCGTAACGGCATTCCTTAACGGCATCCTTGAGGAGGAGATTTTTATGGCGCAGCCAGAGGGATTTGATGATGGTAGTGGCAGAGTGTGGAAGCTGAAGAAGGCCCTCTATGGGCTGAAGCAGGCCCCTAGGCAATGGTACATGAAGCTGCGCGAAGTGTTGGAGGGGATCGGCTTCACTCCCTCAACGGCCGATCACTCCTTGTTCATGCTTGGCGAGGGGGAGCAGAGGAGTTTCATGGTGGTTTATGTGGATGACATCCTCATTTTCTCACCCTTTTCTGACCTTGTGAAGGAGGTGATGCTGAAGCTTCAAGACAAGTTCAAGTGCAAGCCCTTGGTGACGTGAGCTTCTACCTTGGGCTCCACATCGAACGAGATGTGGAGAAGCGGTGCATGCGGGTGCATCAACGAAAGTACCTGGAGGCATTGGCTGCCAACTTTGGGCAGAGTGAAGGCCATATGGCTACACCCTTTCCCTCTGGGTTCAAGTGTGTGAAGGGACCAGAGGAGGAGAGCGTTGGTGAAGAGGAGAGGCGTCGATTTCACTCGTTGGTGGGCAGCCTCATGTATGCGGCGGTAAACACCCGACCGGACGTCGCGTTTGCTACCGGGCAGCTGGCTAGGGTTGTGCAATGCCCTAATGAGGAGCAGGTAGCAGCTGGAATGAGGGTGGCCAAGTATCTTGGCCAAACACCGACCGTTGGGCTGCAATACTCGGCGGCGGCACAAAGGCGCCAAAAGGGCGCGGATGGTGTTGAACCCGGGCGTTTGTTCCTCACCGCCTACTCGGATGCTTCATATGCATCAGAACCAGAGGACACGACAAGTGTGGGAGGCTTCATATGCTGTGTTGGTGGAGGCCCAACTGCTTGGGAGAGCAAGAAGCAGGTTGACCAAGCTTTGAGCTCGGTGGAGTCCGAGTACATGGCACTCTTCCGTGCCGTACGGGAGATTGTGTGGCAGCGGCGTTTGTTGGCTGAATTGGGGGAGGAGCAGCAAGGACCTACCCCACTGTACTGTGACAGCCAGGGTGCCATTGCTCTTGCTAAGAACCCTGTGTTGCATGGACTCACGAAGCACATGAGGGTGAAGTGGCATTGGACGAGGAGCATGGTAACCGCGGGTGAAGTTGAGTTGCGCTACGTGAAGACCACGGGGCAGCCGGCTGACATGATGACCAAGAGGCTGGTGGAGCAGCAGCATTGGAAGTGTTGCAAGCTGGCTGGGATGGCTCTGAACTGAGAGAGCAACATATCCTAAGGCCAACAATCCGAGGGGGAGTTTGTTGGTGCAACCCTACGGTTTGCACTCGGCTTGTTGTCCGTGTGCGTGAATGTGTGTGTGTATGGAATGGTATGAGGGCATGGGATAATATATATTTCATGCTTATAATTGTGTGTGAATGTTGAGTCATGATGTCGAGTGTGTGTGTCGAGTCAATAGCGAGTTATCGCTAGACGCGTGTTACGCGGTCGTTTGTGTCTCGCGCGCGGTTTCTATTTTGTCGTGCGCGGTTTCTATTTTGTCCTGTGTCGAACGTTCGGCGTGTCGCAGGTGTGTGCAGCAAACCCATCAAGAACTCAAGGATGAGTTTGTGATGAAGAGCCCGAGCCTTGGTGTCAAGCCTCAAGTGATTTCGAAGCTTGCCAAAAGGGTACACCTCAAGATATTGAAGATAGTTACATTACTTTGTGTAGTGTAACATTTCACTTGGTGTAGGCCCTAGTGAAGGGTAGTTTCGAGACCCTTCGTGGTTGGGGACAGTGTGGCACTGTTCCACATCACTGTACCTCGGCTCTTGGGGTTTGTAGGAGCTGGGAGTCATTCCCAACTCGTAACTCTTCCTATCTTGTGTTCTAAGACTATAGTGGCTGCCATAGTACCGTTCGTTCAAACCGACGCTGTGTCGTCAATTCTTTATCAAATCGTGCAATCTAAATTGCTAATTGTAGACGACGTGAAGACGCTCCAGATCCAATTTGAATCAAGTCATTTGCAGCTGTGAGCAGAACGCTATCAACGTTTGAAGCCGCTGTGCAGAAATCCGTCTGTGCTCTCTATCTTTCGTTTTAGGCACATTCAAGCCTATTGTGACTATAACATAGAGTGTGAAGTACATCGGGGGGGGGGGGGTTTGCGGCGCAGAACTCGGCTGAGAGGGCGGCACGAAAGCGAGTGTCAGTAGCGCGCAGGTGGGAAATGAGGTCCTCAGCAGTGGTGAACGAGGAAAGGTCGGGGAACAGGTAGGGTAGCATGAGTCGACCTATGGCTGCAGTGGCCGGGGAGGAGTAGCGCGCAACTACAGCGTCGTACAGTGTCTTAGCAGTTTTGTGCTGGCTGAAATGCGCGCGCTCAGTGATCGGCAGATGGTTCCTAATAGCTAGGCGTGCAGCAGCATCGCGAGTCTGCCACTGCGAGCGTTCGAGAGCAGGAGCATCGGCAGCAGGAGCAACGGCAGTGCCAGACACGTAATCGAACAGTGAAACGCCCTCTTTGGCATCGGTCAGAAGGAACAGTTGCAGGTCGTCTAGCCACACAGCGAACTCTATGGGGCGACCGTCAGGTTCGAACGCGAGAACATTAGGCGTCGTCATAACGGCAGCAGGCAAAGGCAGCAGAAAGCAGGCAGGCAGTAGACACGAGGCAGCAGGCAGTAGACGGCAGGCTAAGACAGAGGCAGTAGGCAGCAGGCAGTACAGGCAACGTGCAGGGCAGTAGCTTGCTGCACTCGAGCTCCTAAGGTGGCGCTCTAGACTGTAGCAGGCCGCACAGTTCTAAGGCAGTGGGCTCGGCAGCAGTGAGCCTCACAGGCAGGTACACGAGGAGGGCACGCGCGGATGTTGGTTGCGTGCGGCTGAGGGCTACGCGCGGCTGTCTGCTGCGCGTGGCTACGTGCTGCGCGCGGCTCCTGGCTGCACGTGGCGACGGGCTGCGTGCGGCTCCTGGCTGCGCGTGGCGACGGGCAGCGCGCGCGGCTGCGGGCTGCGTGCAGCGACGGGCCTAAGCAGGCTGCGCGCGGGCGGCGTAAGGGGCGCGCGGGCTCTACGCGGGCCGGCGCGCGGCTCTGCAGCAGTAGCGCGCGCTAAAACAGTGACGCGCGCGCTAAAAACCGAGGCGCGCGCGGAAAAAAAAAAGTGACGCGCGCTGCAGTTGAGGCGCGCGCGGGCAGTAGGCAAGGCAGGCAGGTGGTAACACAGTTAGGTGGGCCCGATTCTTAGGTCCTAGAGACCTCCTGCTCTAGATACCATGTCAAGACTAAGTCAAGGGTATGGTGAGATTAGGTCAAGGTTGGGGTACAAGACTAGAGTGTCGAGAAAGTTTCTGTACCCCCTAGTGCTAACCCCCATACAGCCTAGATAACCTAAACATATATATATGATTTGACAGAGCGCGTCATGGTTCACAAACTGCCTGGTTGTGACTCAAGTTCCCAACTCCCTGTTGGCCCGTCGCAATTGACGACGGGGGAGATACAACCCGCGCAAGTCCGCCAACACTGAAGTGGGGTTCGCGTCGGACTCCCAACATAAACAGGGTAACCACGTGGAGGCAAGTGATAAACCTTTGCCTCCACCCCCCCCAAAGTGCACCCTTGCTTTAAGTGTCCGCCGGTAGAAGTTGATAAATGTAGAGGATAGATAGTTGTTTTTTGAGTTCGGATTTTCCAGCCTTGGCTAACCTCCAGTAGTTTAGGGGTTGTATTAGAGCGTGTTCCCATCCTCGTATCAAGACAACCTCGTATCAGGCTCACACTGAAAATTCCCCTAAACCCAAAACCTCTCGCTAGTTTTACCAGGCAAAAAGGTACCGGTACATTCTTGATACGAGGTTTCCTGATATGAGGCCGTAGGAACACGCCCTTACCGTATGTGTACAATACATACTGGATATACCTTCTGAGCCCTGACTATGCAAACAAGCTAGGGAGCACCAACAGTGCAACCCATGTACAGTACAGACAACCAGTGTACCCACCACTTCCTTGACTGCACGAATAAACCACAGCTGCCATGATAACCAGCAATGCACCCTCTCCCCCCCCCTCCCCCCCCCCTCTCCCGCCCCCGCCCCCTTTCCACCACCCCACTGCAGCACAACACAATGCACGCAGCACCCCTCACTATCACATGATACAAGACAGACAAGCCAGACAAGACAGACAAGACAGCACTGCAGTCATTGCTCTGCCCTTCAACAGTGTCTCCTGCAGCGCTTCTCCTCCCCATCCACCTGGGCCCTCACCCATTCTTCCCACCTTCTTCCCCCGCCCCCCTTTCTTTCCCCTCTCCCGCTGCACCACACGCGCATTGCATCACTCCAGAGTCTGGAGTCCAGACTACATGATTCCCTGCCTGGGAGTCCCTTCTCCCCCCTTCACACGTCAAACACGGCCATGCGGTCGGCAATGTGCCGCCGGCATATGGGGCACTGCCGGCACTTGTCTGCACAGGGACTGGTGGCGTGACGGGTGGGAGGAAACAGGAGAAGAGCGGATGGGGCATGGGTTACGGGGCATGGGGCATGGGAAATGGGTCATGGGGCATGTGGCATGGATCATGGGGCATGGGGTATGGGTCATGGGTCATGGGTCATGGGGCATGGGGCATGGGTCATGGCATAAAACAGGCGACTTACAACCATGGCACTTGACTCACTGGCACAGCACGCGGTGGCGGCAGGGCAGCAGCACGAGGCTGATCTCGCGCTCGAAGCACACGCGGCACAGCACCTTCTCCTGCTGCACTCGCTCCAGCGCCAACCCTCACACCACTGCTCCCCCTCCTTTCTCAAACACTTTCACGCAACTCCCTGGCACAGCGCCCACTGTTTCAGGACGTCTCAGAACCCACTCCCTTGCAACCCAATCACTGGCACAGGAAACCTCACTCCCTGGCGCAAAAAAAGGTGACTCACTGGCACAAGACGCGGTGGCGGCAGGGCAGCAGCACGAGGCTGATCTCGCGCTCGAAGCACACGCGGCACAGCACCTTCTCCTGCTGCACGCGCTCCAGCTCCTGCCGCTGTGCCTTGCCCGTCTCCACCTGCTCCGCCAGGGCTGCCTGCAGCCGCACCACCTCCTCTGCTAGTTGACCCTTGCGCATGCGCTTTATGTGGTCTGGCGGCACCGCTTCAAATGTGTCGTACGTGCTGGAATTGGGGCAGGGAGGGTGGCACAGGCGAAGGGGATAACGGGGGAGCAGTGATTCCAGTTGCGCCTTGCCCGTCTCCACCTGCTCCGCCAGGGCTGCCTGCAGCCGCACCACCTCCTCTGCTAACTGCCCTTTTCTCATTCGCTTTATGTGGTCTGGAGGAACAGCCTCGAATGTGTCGTATGTGCTGTGGATTGAAGGGGAGGGGAGGGGAGGGTAGGTAGCACAGTGAAAGGGGATAAGCGGACTGCAATCAGTGCCTTGCCCGTCTCCACCTGCTCCGCTAGTGCTGCCTGCAGCCGCACCACCTCCTCTGCTAACCGCCCTTTTCGCATTCGTTTGATGTGGTCCAGAGGGACACCTTCAAACGTGTCGTATGTGCTGTGGAGGGAGGGCAACACAGGGGGAGCGGAGGGTGGGTAGGACAGGAGAATGGGATAAGGGGAGAGCAACCAATGCCGCCTACAGCCGCACCACCTCCTCTGCTAATTGGCCTTTTCGCATTCGCTTTATGTGGTCTGGACTGGAGGCACGGCCTCGAACGTGTCATACGTGCTGTGGAGGGAAGGGGAGGGGAGGGTAGGTTCGTCATCCCGCAACCACCACCCCGCCAGCCGCATCCCACAAGCATGGAACGTCCCTGATGTGCCCCTGACTACTTTTAACACTCACCCTGGAAACAACGAGGCAGTAAGGCTCTTTTGTAAACAAGAATTGTTTTGAGACGTCTCAAAACAACTCTGTTTACACGTGGCCCCTGATGTGCCCCTGACTGCTTCCAACACTCACCCTGGAAGCAACGAGGCAGTAAGGCTCTTTTGCTCCTCCCGCACTTCATCATCCCGCCACCACTACCCCACCAGCCGCATCCCCCTCGTCACAAACATAAACGGATCGTGCCTCTGGTTTCTTCTACCAACACTCACTCACCCTGGAAACAGAGAGGCCGTGAGACTTTTCTGCTCCTCCCGCACTTCGTCATCTCGCCACCACCACCCCGCCAGCCGCATCCCCCTCGTCACAAACATAAACGGATCATGCTCCCGCACTACCGCCGAAAACCGCCGCCCGGACTCCGGCGCATACAACAACATCACGCCCTCCGCGAGCTGAGTCAGCGCTGACATCAGCGCCGCCAGCTGGACAGCGAGGAGTGGAGAGAAGAGCATCCAATAGGACATGTGTGCCGCCCAGTTGGGCTGGCCTTCGAGAAGCATGCAGAGGAGCACTTGGAATACTATCACCCCGGCTTTTAGTAGATGGCCCCCCACCTCTGGGGCCCCGCAGTGAAACTCTACCTCACTCTCGCTGTCCTCGTCCCCCCCCTCCTCCTCACTCCCTCTCGCCCCTCCTCCCACGGCTCCTGCCCCCACTCCTCCTTCCCCAGCTCTCAAAACACCGCTCCCCCCCCCAACTCTCTCTTCTGCGCCTCCCCCCCCTCCTCCTCCTCGTCTTATCTCCGCCTCCTCATCCTCCTCCGCCTCCTCCCCCTCTCCTCCTCCTCCCCCCCTTCTGCCCCCTGTCCCTGCCCTCCCTGCACCCGACCCTCCACTACCCACCCTCCTATCAACCACCCTACCAGAAGCATAAACAACAGCAGCAGAAGTACCAGCGGCAGCATCATCAGCACTACCACCAGCAGCAACGGCACTCTCTGCTAATCTAACCGCTGCCTCGCCCTCTCCCCCCTCTCCCCCCTCTGCCCCTCCCCTGCTGCTGCCCCTCTGTGAGGATTGTGATGCGAGAAGGGGAGTGGTGATGGTGATGGTGGTGGCTTGAGGAGGGGAGGAAGTGGTGGAGGAGGAGGAGGAGGATGAGGAGGAAGGTGGTTGGGAGGAGGGGAGGAGGGAAGGGGAGGAGTTGGAGGGGCGGAGGAGAGGAGTGGGGGATGGGGAGGGGCGGGGGGGAGGTTGGTGAGGATTGGTCCATTGCATGCAGAGGAGGAAGGCGAAGAACTCGCCGATGCTGTTAAGAACACAAGGGGGGGAGGTGGGAGGGCACATATGCGTTGGGAGCAGTTAGCACCAGAGGGAGCAGCTAGCAGCGTAGCACTCACCAGAGGGAGCAGCTAGCAGCGTAGCACTCACCAGAGGGAGCAGCTAGCAGCGTAGCACTCACCAGAGGGAGCAGCTAGCAGCCTAGCACTCACCAGAGGGAGCAGCTAGCAGCGTAGCACTCACCAGAGGGAGCAGCTAGCAGCGTAGCACTCACCAGAGGGAGCAGCTAGCAGCCTAGCACTCACCAGAGGGAGCAGCTAGCAGCCTAGCACTCACCAGAGGGAGCAGCTAGCAGCCTAGCACTCACCAGAGGGAGCAGCTAGCAGCGTAGCACTCACCAGAGGGAGCAGCTAGCAGCCTAGCACTCACCAGAGGGAGCAGCTAGCAGCGTAGCACTCACCAGAGGGAGCAGCTAGCAGCGTAGCACTCACCAGAGGGAGCAGCTAGCAGCGTAGCACTCACCAGAGGGAGCAGCTAGCAGCGTAGCACTCACCAGAGGGAGCAGCTAGCAGCGTAGCACTCACCAGAGGGAGCAGCTAGCAGCGTAGCACTCACCAGAGGGAGCAGCTAGCAGCGTAGCATTCACCAGAGGGAGCAGCTAGCAGCGTAGCACTCACCAGAGGGAGCAGCTAGCAGCGTAGCACTCACCAGAGGGAGCAGCTAGCAGCGTAGCACTCACCAGAGGGAGCAGCTAGCAGCGTAGCACTCACCAGAGGGAGCAGCTAGCAGCGTAGCACTCACCAGAGGGAGCAGCTAGCAGCGTAGCACTCACCAGAGGGAGCAGCTAGCAGCGTAGCACTCACCAGAGGGAGCAGCTAGCAGCGTAGCACTCACCAGAGGGAGCAGCTAGCAGCGTAGCACTCACCAGAGGGAGCAGCTAGCAGCGTAGCACTCACCAGAGGGAGCAGCTAGCAGCGTAGCACTCACCAGAGGGAGCAGCTAGCAGCGTAGCACTCACCAGAGGGAGCAGCTAGCAGCGTAGCACTCACCAGAGGGAGCAGCTAGCAGCGTAGCACTCACCAGAGGGAGCAGCTAGCAGCGTAGCACTCACCAGAGGGAGCAGCTAGCAGCGTAGCACTCACCAGAGGGAGCAGCTAGCAGCGTAGCACTCACCAGAGGGAGCAGCTAGCAGCGTAGCACTCACCAGAGGGAGCAGCTAGCAGCGTAGCACTCACCAGAGGGAGCAGCTAGCAGCGTAGCACTCACCAGAGGGAGCAGCTAGCAGCGTAGCACTCACCAGAGGGAGCAGCTAGCAGCGTAGCACTCACCAGAGGGAGCAGCTAGCAGCGTAGCACTCACCAGAGGGAGCAGCTAGCAGCGTAGCACTCACCAGAGGGAGCAGCTAGCAGCGTAGCACTCACCAGAGGGAGCAGCTAGCAGCGTAGCACTCACCAGAGGGAGCAGCTAGCAGCGTAGCACTCACCAGAGGGAGCAGCTAGCAGCGTAGCACTCACCAGAGGGAGCAGCTAGCAGCGTAGCACTCACCAGAGGGAGCAGCTAGCAGCGTAGCACTCACCAGAGGGAGCAGCTAGCAGCGTAGCACTCACCAGAGGGAGCAGCTAGCAGCGTAGCACTCACCAGAGGGAGCAGCTAGCAGCGTAGCACTCACCAGAGGGAGCAGCTAGCAGCGTAGCACTCACCAGAGGGAGCAGCTAGCAGCGTAGCACTCACCAGAGGGAGCAGCTAGCAGCGTAGCACTCACCAGAGGGAGCAGCTAGCAGCGTAGCACTCACCAGAGGGAGCAGCTAGCAGCGTAGCACTCACCAGAGGGAGCAGCTAGCAGCGTAGCACTCACCAGAGGGAGCAGCTAGCAGCGTAGCACTCACCAGAGGGAGCAGCTAGCAGCGTAGCAGCTTAGGAGAATCCTCAAGAGTGATACAAGCAAGTGTGCTCACTGGTGCTTACTGCGCGGTTGATTTAGCAGAGTGAGCAGTGAGCACGCAGCACACACTCACCAGAGGTCCACCAGCAGTGTCCACCAGTCAATGCCGATCACCTCCGTCACATCTGCACTCAAAACAGGTGGGTGGGGCAGCATGGGTGGGGTGGGGCAGTTTGGTGGCTTACCATAATCTTGGTGGCTTAGCATATAAATAAAAAAAAAAAAACGGAAAAAAAAAAACAAAAAAACAAAAAAAAAGGGGGGAAAACAAAAAAAACAAAACCATGGCTTACCGTTGAGCTTGAGCACGGAGAACACGGTTGCTGCCATGAAGAATATCATTGACACCGCCACTGCAAAGTGCTTTGAATGGAAAGAGACGGGAGGGGGGAAAGCAGAAGAGGAGACGGAAAGAGAAGAGAGGCAGGGAGCGAAAAGGAAGATGAAAGGAGAACATGTAACTGCTTCCATGAACATCCATCACCAACGACCAAAACACCACAACCCATGCACGCACGCACCGCAGCCCATGCATTGCAAGCTTTAGTGTCATGTACCCAGCACCAACATGCATACACCATACTCCATGCATACCGGCAATGTCTCCCACAGAGCCTCGTCTGTCATGTTGTCCAACTAGACAGGTGCATTGCGCTTTTCATCGTCATGAAAACATGGCACTCCATGCATACCGGCAATGTCTCCCACAGAGCCTCGTCTGTCATGTTGTCCAACTAGACAGGTGCATTGCGCTTTTCATCGTCATGAAAACATGGCACTCCATGCATACCGGCAATGTCTCCCACAGAGCCTCGTCTGTCATGTTGTCCAACTAGACAGGTGCATTGCGCTTTTTATCGTCATGAAAACATGGCACTCCATGCATACCGGCAATGTCTCCCACAGAGCCTCGTCTGTCATGTTGTCATCTTCCCCCGGCATCAGTGCCATGCACATCCTGACGTGGCACACATTGATTAGCCGATGGGGGAATGGAAAAGGGATGCACACACTTTGATGTGGCACACTAGTTTTCTTTTTCTCCAGAAAGTTGCAGCAAGGGAAAGCACATGAGGATGTCTATGTGTGTGCACTAACGCCTTGTGTAAAAAATCACCTGTATGCTTGTCTGAGACATCACCTGAATTCACCTCATGCCACATCCACCCATCTGAAGTGACCTGAATTCACCCAGATTTAGTTACTTACCTGACTACACCCAATGCCTGATTCACCCGAGTCCACCTTAACCTTCATGAATCCATCTGAATCCACCTGAATCCACCTGAATCCACCTGAATCCACCTCCTGAATCCACCTGAATCCACCTCATGAATCCACCTGAATCCATCTAAAATCAGCTGAAAGCTCACCTGAAGTTGTCAACGAGCACGAGCCCCTCGAGCAGAATGAGAGGCAGGAACACAATGGCCAGGTCCACTGGCGGCCGCGCCACACACACTGCAGGGGGTGAGACGAGGGAGGGGTGATGGGTTATGGATGGTTGATGTGCAATGCCTGAGAGGATGGGTGGTGGATGATGGTGAATGGGCGGCAGGAACACAATGGCCAGATCCACTGGCGGCCGCACCACACACACTGCAGGGAAGGGGGTGAGTGGAGGGAGGGATGATGGGTCATGGATGTTAAATGAGAGGCAGCGAGTGGCAGAGAGAGAGAGGGGTGTGGAAACGCAAAGAGACTGTGTGCGCACTTTCTCTTGCAGCGAGGTAGCAGCAGAGCAGAGGAGCAGCTCGAAGGCAACGAAGTTTTAGAAGCAGCGAATCTAGACAGGAAAGACTCGAGTCCCACCGACAATTAGCAACGTAGATGTGTGGGATGGGAGAGAGGACGCACACTCTCTAGCAGCGAGGTAGCAGCAGAGCAGCAGCTCGAAGGCAACGAGCAGCGGCAGCGTGAGCAGCGAGTGGCAGGGGCGCCAGTGGCGGTCGTAAGGCGAGCTGGGCGCGGGCATGGAGCAGTTGCATCGGGACAGAGCACCGTGAAACACCCACAGCGGACAGAACACCCACCTGCCGGGGAAGGGGAGGGAGGAGGAGGGAGGGAGGGGGGGGGGAGTTGGAAAGCACGGGATGTGCAGGTGCTAAAAAACAGCACACAAAGGAGTCACACCTAAGACACTGCACTCACCACCAGGACCATGTCCATCGGCCTTGCAGTTTCAGGATCAAGAACCACGTGAAGAGCAGAAGACACAGGTGCTAAAAAGCAGCAGAGGGAAATATTCACACCAGAAACACTGCACTCACCACCACGACCAAGTCCATCGGCCTTGGAGTTTCAGGATGAGGAGGCACGTGAAGAGCAGAAGGCACAGGTGCTAAATTGCACAGGGAAATATTCACACCAGCAACACTGCACTCACCACCACCGCACTGCAGTCACCACCAGAGCACTGCACTCATCACCACCGCAGCGCACTCACCACCACGACCATGACCATCGGCCTTGGAGTTTCAGGATGAGGAGGCACGTGAAGAGAAGCAAGCACAGGTGAGCGATGGTCGGCAGCACCGTCGCCCAGCTCACAGGCGCCCGGCCACGAGGCATGGCGAAGCCGACGCGAAACCCTTGGAGCGGTGTTCGCTTTTGAAAACGGCCTCGGGTGAAAGCCTGGTAACCCTAGACTTAGTGCAATTGAGTCAAAAGCTTCGACCGAATCCGTGACCTAGGCATAGGGTACGGCGGCCAATCGTTACAACCCTAAGGTCACTGAATCCCAACCAGCGGCTAATCCCTAAGTACCAGATAATCTGCTAGTACTCTGCGGAGCGGACACGTGGCATCTGGCGGTTCTCGCGGCTCGAGACGTCGGCTGCATCGTCCGTTAGTGGACCAACACATGCCCTGTCGATATGATTAGGGTGGATTCCTACCTCGTGTCCGCTCACTGCGTACCCGCTCACTGCGTGCCAGCTATTCAGCAGCTGCGATTCTGTCACGTTACTGATGTCTACATATCGCAGCGGTCACCGACCTTGTGTCAGGTAGCCTGAAACGAGGAAAAAACGCACCCGAAGTCGCTGCTGTTACCGTTTACGTAGCTTCAGTGCTACTTCAACCTACTACGGCTATGAGACCGAAAGGAAACGGACCACAATAAACGCAACCAATTTCTGCCTGCTTCAAACGCGAATCGTGGAAAATAACGATCAAGTCATTCAGAGAGGAAACACTGCGGACGGAAACCGAGACTCACTCCCTTGATACAGGACACACTATTTTAGTAACTTCAGAGAGCGCGTCGGGGACTTCGCAGGGAACTCGTCGTCATGCCTTGGGATTGTCATCGTCGTCCTGAGAAACTTGTGAAAGCAATTGATGGTCGCACGATCTCCCTGATTTCATCACATTCCGTGCCTCTCCGTGCCTCCACCAGGTTCGGTGAATTTGGCGATGAAAGGTCATTGCTGATTGGCTGCGACGGCCTTGCCACGTGCCGCGTCAGCCTCGCACGGCAGCATCCGTCGGCTGACGCACCAAGATGGTTGACTTATGGAGGATGAATTAGTGTAAAAATCCAGTGTTTCATGGTGTGCGCTACAATCATTGTCAAACCCGACACTCCCTTCGTTTTCTGGGTTTATAGGGTTAACCACTTCCTTTTGTTTATCAATAACCCCATAATTCCGAACTGCCTCCCACCCCTCACATTCATCCCCGTTACAAATGGTGAGGAGATGCTGTCTCTGAATCCCAAATGTGACGATGTGCTCCACATCGAATCGCTAAATTTCAACGCGATCCGCGGTGGCTCGTCCCTCACAGCACACCATACCCAGGTGATGGGAGTGTCGTCCCAACTTGCACGGCGTCGCGAGTGGCTTCACGAAACTTGGACGAAACTTGGTAACGCCTAGACGAGTTTCCACGAGCTCAATAATATCTTTCGTTGCCGGTGGGATCTCGTGTCGGTATGTGTGAAATTCGAATTCCCCCTCCAGTCACAACATGGATGCAAGCTCGCAGCCACCATTTTGGACGCGTAGAATTGAACAGAGAATTCCACAATTTTATGAACAGAGTTGGTAGCTCGCTCCGCATGAGGCCTACACGAGATAATGCGTCCACAACTCGTCCTCGCGACGCCTCTAGCGCGACTCGAAGCAGGCGGGTCATCCGCACTAGAAAACGCCTTGCGTCTTCCCTTCCTCACACCAATCGCCACCTGCTCCACTCCAAAGTCTCCACTTGCTCCACTCGAGCCACCGCTCGACTAAAGCCTCCCACTTGCTCCGCTCCACAACATCCCTCTCCTCTTGCTCTCGCAGTGGCCCTCTCAACTTATTGAAACTTCCGATTTCACGACAAGCCGGCCAAGTACCCGATCCACCCGCCGCAACATGGCTTCGAGGCTCGCTTCTGCTTCCGCGCTGCTTCTGCTCGCCACGGCCTTGGCGTGCGTCGCGCGCGCCGCGACGGCCGCGAAGATCTCGCAGATGTACGTGTTCGGCGACGAGTCGGCGGACGTGGGAAACGCGAATTACTTCATGCGCGCAACCGTGAAGGCCAACAAGGCACCGTACGGCCTCAGCTTCAAGCCCGCGTCGGGCCGCTTCTCCGACGGCAAGCTCGTTGTCGACTACCTAGGTACGATGCAATTCATCGTTCCCGTCTCTCAGATTCACCGACAGTGGTACCAATCTGCGCATTTTGCTCCATATTACTAGCTCTACTAGAAACGTTCATGCTCAATCTTTCCCCCACGCCCGAGACTGCGCTTTTTGAGTTTAGTACTATCTTCAACCAACTTGACTCAATCTCCCTCCTCCCTCTCTCTTCTTCCAACAGCCGACTTCCTCGCGATCGCCTCGCCGCGCGCCGATCTCGCGCCCCGCAATGCGTCTCTTCCCTTCACTGGCCTCGACTACGCCATGGTTGGCGCGGGCGCCAAATCCGGCACCAACGGCGGCAAGGTAATATTTCGCCCGCTCCTCGCTTGGGAAGAGTCCGGCCTCGAGTTTTTTTTTTTTTTGTTTTTTTTTTCGTTCGCCTCCTCCTGGTAGTTTTTTTCTTTCGCGTCATCATCATCATCTAACCACCGTCTTCTTCTCGTGGTTTCCCTTTCTCATGGCGGCAGACGCGCGGGCTGCAGCAGCAGTTCAACGAGTTCAAGAAGTGGTTCAACGAGGCCAAGCGCACCAACAACCCCGACCTCGTACGCGCTCCTTTCTTTCTCCAGTTCCATTCTTCTCCTTTTTTCCCATCGTCCTGTCTGATTCCTTCTCCAAGCGCACCAACAACCCCGACCTCGTACGCCCGCCTTGCTCCCACCATTTCCCTCCTGCCTTCGTTTCCATCTTCCGCTCTTTTTTAAATTTCTATCGAATCTTCTTTTCCAATTTTCCATCCGATCTCGCTTTCATATTCCTTTCGAATCTTCCTTTTCGTTCATTTTCTCTACAGAAGCTGGACGAGGCTCTATTCGTGGTGAGCATCGGCTCCAACGACTATCTCGCTGAGCTCAGCAGCTCGCAGCCCAACATGACGACTCTCGTCGCCCTCGCCTCCTCCGTTTCCAACCTCGTTATAAACATCACCCAGTCTCTCTACAACCTCACCGGCTCCTCCAACATCGTTATTGTCGACCTGCCGAATCTCGGCTGTGTTCCCGCCGTGCGCCGTGCGGCTGGCAGTGGAATCAGCTGCACCGAAGCTGGTAACCAGGTTACCATTATCCACAATTTCGCACTGCTGACGAAGACAGACAAGCTGAGAAATAACCCCGCCCTGCCCATGCCGAACCTGGTGCTCTTCAAGCAATCAGCGGTCTTCAAGACTATGATTCAAGTCCCCACCTCCGGTGAGACCCTTAACTTTCCCCTCCTTTTCTCTCCCCTTTTAAACTGCCCCATTTATCCCTTCTCCCCTTCTCCTCTCGTTTTTCACATTCCGCCACCACAACGTTATGCTCCTTTCTCATTGCGTCAACCTCCACCCTGGTCCCCACTCCCCCCCTCCCCTCCTCCCCCAGGCCTGACGAACCAGACGCACCCGTGCTGCGAGGCGGTGACAAGCACGGGGGTGGTGGTGGCGTGTGCGCAGACCAGCGGCACCGGCAAGGCAGCGGTAACGGCAGGGCCGTGTGCGGCGCCAAGCAAGGCGGTGTGGTGGGATGCGCGCAACCCCACGCAGGCGGTGAACCAGAAGGTGGCCAACACCCTCTTCTTCTCCACCAACCCCGCCATGGTCCGCCCCAACGGCCTCCGCAAGTTCTACTCGCTCTAGAGGCGGGGAGTGGCGAGGAGAGGCGGGGAGAGGTGGGGAGAAGTGAGGTTCTGTGCCGTGGGTTTGAGCTCTGCTCTCCGCCATGGTCCGTCCCAACGGCCTCCGCAAGTTCTACTCGCTCTAAGAGCCAGGGGATGTGACATTCACGCTGTCCAGGCGAACGGCTGGGCGGCTGCTTTTTCATTTGGGAATACCATTTAGTATCTTTATTTTTCCGGTGGGATGAGGTTGCTATGCTGTGCTCTAGAGCTGTGTTTGTCCCTCTGCACCTGGGTGGCTCAGGCCTGTGAGCCTTCTTGGTCACCTAGTGTGAAATAAGGACCAGAGATACTCTCTGGCAAGGACTCAGGCTGCTACTGCTGGATTTGTTTGTTTATTCAACATCAATTGGTTTTGAAGGACTCTGTTACTGTTACTGTTACTCTTGTCACCAGCAGAGGCATGATACAAACATATTCTCTCATCTTCTCTGTAGCCATGCATGAACTTACGTTTTTAAGTTCTTACGTTTAGAAAAATCAACCATCGAGCTACCGTAAAAGTGAACCAAGCACAGGTGAGTCTAATTTGGTGTCCCCTTTTCCACAATGTCTTGATACCATCTACATGGGGAAGGAGAAATCCCAACACCCTGTTCCCCTTGCTCCTGTTGACACTGCTAAGCACTGGGAAACAGGCAAGCTCGGCTGAGGATCCATACATACCTATTCAAGAGGTAGTCCCGTCTCTGAGAAAGGCACACTGTTCAAAGATCTCGGTCAGATGACTCCTGGCATGCGCTGAACGCACCACTGAGCAGCCTACCAGTACATGATTCAGCATACAAATAGGCCCACTGCTTGAAGGTTTTGGTCAGAAGGCTCCTAGCATGCCTGCCCCACATGCACCCTGCATTTAGCGAATCCTTGTGCCCTTAGGGAGTGCCAGTGAGTGGCAAGGAGTGCCACGGGATACCAAGGAGTGCCGGGGAGTGCCGGGGAGTGCCAAGGAGTGCCACGGAGCGAACGGGTCGGAGTTACGAGTCAAGAGTTAGAATCAGGAGTCGTCCGAGTCAGGGCCGGTGTTGAAGGTTTTGATGAGATGCTTGAGTTCATCCCGCACTGCTGTGTAGCAGAAGCGGTACTGCTCCTGTTGGGTGACAGGGGGGGGGGGGGGGGTGGCGAGAGAGGTGGAGAGGAGTGAAGGAAGGTGAAAAGAGGTGAAGAGGGGTTAGAGTCAGGAGTCGTCCGAGTCAGGGCCGGTGTTGAAGATTTTGATGAGATGCTTTAGTTCGTCCCTCACAGCGGTGTAGCAGAAGCGGTACTGCTCCTGTTGGGTGACATGGGGGGGGGGGGGGGGGCGAGAGAGGTGGAGAGGAGTGAAGGAAGGTGAAAAGAGGTGAAGAGGGGTTAGAGTCAGGAGTCGTCCGAGTCAGGGCCGGTGTTGAAGATTTTGATGAGATGCTTTAGTTCGTCCCTCACGGCGGTGTAGCAGAAGCGGTACTGCTCCTGTTGGGTGATGAGAGAGGTGGAGAGGGGTGAAGGGAGGTGAAGGGGAGTGAAGGCTTTGGTAACGGTTTGATCTCATCTTGCACAGCTATGTAGCAAAAGCGGTACTGCTCCTGTTGGTTCAGCAGAAGCGACAAGGTACGGTGCACAGGAGAAAAGAGGGGCGGAATGAGTTGAAGGGAGGTGCAGAAAGGTAAGGAGAGGTGAAGGTTTTAAAAAGGTGCTTGCCCTAAAATCACACCGTTGTTTACCCTGATATCACACACACCTTGGCCTGCATCATGGCGGCGCGCTGCTGTCGCAGCAGGAGAACAGTGGCCACCATGTTGAGCGCCGAGAGGCCCCCCTGCAGCACCTTGCTCTCTGCTGTACTTGAATCACACCTTTCCTTGCCCTAACAACGCACCTTGGTCTGCACCATGCCGGCGCGCTGCTGTCGCAGCAGGAGAACAGTGGCCACCATGTTGAGCGCCGAGAGGCCCCCCTGCAGCACCTTGCTCTCTGCTGTACTTGAATCACACCTTTCCTTGCCCTAACAACGCACCTTGGTCTGCACCATGGCGGCGCGCTGCTGTCGCAGCAGGAGAACAGTGGCCACCATGTTGAGCGCCGAGAGGCCCCCCTGCAGCACCTTGCTCTCTGCTGTACTTGAATCACACCTTTCCTTGCCCTAACAACGCACCTTGGTCTGCACCATGGCGGCGCGCTGCTGTCGCAGCAGGAGAACAGTGGCCACCATGTTGAGCGCCGAGAGGCCCCCCTGCAGCACCTTGCTCTCTGCTGTACTTGAATCACACCTTTCCTTGCCCTAACAACGCACCTTGGTCTGCACCATGCCGGCGCGCTGCTGTCGCAGCAGGAGAACAGTGGCCACCATGTTGAGCGCCGAGAGGCCCCCCTGCAGCACCTTGCTCTCTGCTGTACTTGAATCACACCTTTCCTTGCCCTAACAACGCACCTTGGTCTGCACCATGGCGGCGCGCTGCTGTCGCAGCAGGAGAACAGTGGCCACCATGTTGAGCGCCGAGAGGCCCCCCTGCAGCACCTTGCTCTCTGCTGTACTTGAATCACACCTTTCCTTGCCCTAACAACGCACCTTGGTCTGCACCATGGCGGCGCGCTGCTGTCGCAGCAGGAGAACAGTGGCCACCATGTTGAGTGCCGAGAGGCCCCCCTGCAGCACCTTGCTCTCTGCTGTACTTGAATCACACCTTTCCTTGCCCTAACAACGCACCTTGGTCTGCACCATGCCGGCGCGCTGCTGTCGCAGCAGGAGAACAGTGGCCACCATGTTGAGCGCCGAGAGGCCCCCCTGCAGCACCTTGCTCTCTGCTGTACTTGAATCACACCTTTCCTTGCCCTAACAACGCACCTTGGTCTGCACCATGCCGGCGCGCTGCTGTCGCAGCAGGAGAACAGTGGCCACCATGTTGAGCGCCGAGAGGCCCCCCTGCAGCACCTTGCTCTCTGCTGTACTTGAATCACACCTTTCCTTGCCCTAACAACGCACCTTGGTCTGCACCATGCCGGCGCGCTGCTGTCGCAGCAGGAGAACAGTGGCCACCATGTTGAGCGCCGAGAGGCCCCCCTGCAGCACCTTGCTCTCTGCTGTACTTGAATCACACCTTTCCTTGCCCTAACAACGCACCTTGGTCTGCACCATGCCGGCGCGCTGCTGTCGCAGCAGGAGAACAGTGGCCACCATGTTGAGCGCCGAGAGGTCTTTGGAGTCGGCTCATATGTCATCCTGCCTTGCCCTAAAAGCGCACCCTGCTTTGCCCTCGCATCACACCCACCTTGGCCTGCACCATGCCAGCGCGCTGCTGCCTGAGAAGTAGCACTGTGGCCGCCATGTCAAGTGCCGAGAGGTCCCCCTGCAGCACCCTCTGCACTGCACGGTCCCCCTGACATCACACATACCTTTCTCTGCCCTGAAATCACACGTACCTTGGTCTGCACCATGCCGGCACGTTGCTGTCGGAGAAGCAGCACCGTTGCAGCCATGTCGAGTGCCGAAAGGTCCCCCTGCAGCACCCTCCGCACTGCATGGTCCACCACACAGTAGGCGCCCGTTCTGCCGATGCCCGCACTGCAAGAGGGGGAGAGGGAGGGTGAGAGAGGACGAGGGAGAGACGGTGAGAGAGAGAAGTTGAGGGAGGTGTCGTAACACGATACCGTCCCTGTAGCACACGACGCACTGCATGGCCCACCACACAGTAGGCACCCGTTCTGCCGATTCCCGCACCTACCTGCAGTGCCACCCAAGCCCACCTGAGAAGACACGAAATCGTGGTGAGTGGTTGGTTGGGTGCCTACCTGCAGTGGATGACAAACGGCCCGGCGGACGAGGGCGAGTCTCTGAGGGAGCGGATGAGGTCGCGAATGGACTCCGTGTCGCGGGGCACGCCGTGATCAGGCCAGTCTAGGTAGTGCAGATGCAGCACTGAGAGCGGCGCGCCTGGCGCCTGGGAAGCACAGCAATGGCAGGGCAAGAAGGAAGGGGGAGTTCAATGTGAAGGCAAACACGAATGGACTCCGTGTCGCGCGGCACACCGTGGTCCGGCCAGTCTAAGTAGTGCAGATGCAGCACTGAGAGCGGCGCGCCTGGTGCCTGGGAAGCACAACGAATGGTGGGACAAGGAGGATGGGAAGAGAATTAATGCAAGGGATGGTAAGAAGAGAGTGACTCTGTGCCCCGGGCCCGGGGCACTCCGTGGTCAGGCCGCCGGCCGGTCTAGGTAGTGCAGGTGCCGCACAGGGAGGTTCTTTGCCCTCGCCTCACCCCTCCTGACCATACTCATGGCTGGCCCCCCATTCACCATCCCATTCCCCACTCACTGTCTCGTTGGTGATGGTGAGTTGGCGCTGCAGTGTGCCGCCATCACTCATCTCCACCGTCGCCTCGTTGCTCACGCGCATGTGCCCATATGCCTCGCTTGCACCCGCCTTGGATGGGAAGTAGTGCGCACACTTGATCTGGTGGAATAGGGGAAGCGGAAGGAGACAGAGAAGTGAGGGGAGACAGGGGAGAAGGGGGAGAGGGGGGAGACGGGGAAGAGAGGGAACTGGCAAACTCGCCTTCCCCGTTCCTTCTCTTGAGTCGACTCAAAAGCAGACTCATTACACGCGGTTTTTTTAGTCGACTCAAAACTGGCAAACTCGCCCCTCCCGTTCCTTCTCTGCCCCTGTCGCACATATGCTCCCCACCTCATGTTCCCTCGACATGCACGGCACTCTCCCCTGATACACCACACGTGCATGCATGCAAGAGCACTCACCCTTGACCCCTCGTGTGAGCATGATGACAGCAGCAGCGCGCTGCTCCCACACCATGTGCCATCGGCAGCCCATGTCACAGAACCACTCACACACATGCACACACGCAAGAGAGCGCAAATCACTCACCCGGGACCCATCCACCTTCCGGGTGAGCATGATGACAGCAGCGGCGCGCTGCTCCCACACCATGTGCCATCCACTCTACAGCCCATCACCCCTCACAGAGCAGAGCAA